TCCTTCCTTCCTTCCTTCCTTCCTTCCTTCCTTCCTTCCTTCCTTCCTTCCTTCCTTCCTTCCTTCCTCAACATCCTTAATGGGAAGTAAAGGAGTCTCTCTTTTTTTTTAAGTGGGTAAAACTGACAAGAGTTTCCCCTTCTACATGGAGTTACAGGAAGGACAGTAAAACTGAACTTTTGTTTTTCATCCATCCATCACTGGTGCTTGATTACCTGGTGTGGATGTAAAGAAAAATAAATGGTGGAATCCAGCAGCCCAGAGAACTGCTGTCAAGGAGGAAGATATGGCTATCTCCTTGGCCCAAGCTGTCATGCTCCAAAAACTAAGGCATACACAGAGAGTTATTTCTAAGTTCTTGCATCATTAAAGGTATACCCTGAGAACGGCTAGAGAGTAGGTATCTTGAATCGCTTTCTCCCAACCAAAGTACCTCTTTCTTGGTCCTGTTGAATGCAGCTTCTCCCTCCTGGGAAACCAGATTACATTCCACCACAAATTGGAGGAAAGCATTACATTTATAAAGGAGAACTAAGTAATACACCTTCACTAACAGGCAGTTTTCCTATGAAGGTCAGGAGAAATATCTTCACTTTCATTCGTGGGAAATATCTTCCTTCTTAAAGGAATAAGAGATGGTGGTGTCCACTGAAGCTTTGAGTCCAACTGTCAGTTAAAACAATTAATCAGTTGAATAACTTGCCTCCAGAAGTTGTAAATGCTCTAACACTGGGAGTTTTTTAAAAAGATGTTGGATAACCCTTTGTCTGAAATGGTGTAGGATTTCCTGCCTAAGCAGGGGGTTGGACTAGAAGACCTCCAAGGTCCCTTCCAACACTGTTATTGTAATCTATTCTTGTCAGGTTCCCATTAACGTACCCATCACAAACCAAACTCCGAGGCATTCCATTTCCTCAAAGAACAAATTTATTGAGATACATCATCTTGGCACAAACTAGTGGAAAGCCAGTATTAAAGGCTCCGGTGCTTTCCACCCCACTTAAAGTAAAAGTTTCTCATTTTTCCAAAACAATATGTCACACTGTTCAATCGGGATAAGGGCTGGTTGCTTGGTGACTTCTCTCCTCTTCCTCTGGCCAGCCAGCTGTTTGGAATGGCATGATAGCAGTCTTCCAATATCTGAGGGGCTGCCACAGAGAGGAGTCAAGGGGGTCAAGCTATTTTCTAAAGCACCCAAAGGCCAGACAAGGAACAATGGATGGAAATTGATCAAGGAGAGATTCAACCTGGAAATAAGGAGAAATTTTCTGACAGTGAGAACAATCAACCAATGGAACAGAAGTTACCCTCAGAAGTTGTGGGAGCTTCATCACTTGAGCCTTTCAAGAAGAGATTGGACTGCCATTTGTCAGAAATGGTGCAGGGTCTCTCGCTTGGGTGAGGGGGTGGACTAGATGACCTACAAGGTCCCTTCCAACTCTGATTATCTGTTATCTGTTATCTGTATCTGATTTATCAGCTAATTATGTTGTTTTGGTTGAAGACTCCATCCACCTCTGCTCTCCGCCTTCAGCTCCAAACTTTGTCAACCTGAATTCATGTGAGAATAGCCCATAGTCGAAACAAATCCCCCACCGGAGAGGAACCAGCCATTGCCCAGTCAGATTCAGGCTTGACACAACCTCCTTCTACTGTCAGTGCATGACCTAGTCCTGCACAGGGGTATCAATGATCATCTCTGTGGATCATTGGTGGGAGGGCTGTGGAATGCTTTGAAGTTCTTCTCCAGAAAGTGATTCACTGAGTCTGGGATGCAAACAATGCAACCTCTAAAAGGAGACACAGCTCTTCCTGCAAAGGAGTGCAGAGATCCTCATTGGTCTTTGGCTCTTACCCTTCTACATTATGTCACATTATTTTCCTAATCATTGCTGTGTGCTACCTTACTCCGTACAGATTCATTTATACCATCACCTGTTTTCATTCCAAATGGAGATCTCAACTTACAACCATTTGTGTAGCAACCAATCAAAGTTACAGTGGCACTCACAACACCATAAACCCTTGAAGTTGTGACTATTTCAGCATCCTGATCATCATGTGAAAAGTAACTGGCATGTATTTAGAATGGCTGCAGCATCCTAGTGGTTCTTATTTGTGTCCTCCCCACTTGGCTTCCAACAAGAAAGTCAATAAGGAAAACCCCATTAGCCTAAAACCGTGATGGCGAACCTACAGCATGCGTGCTGGAAGTGGCACACAGAGCCACTTCTGCCGGCACAAGAGAGGTTGCCCAGAAGAGCCTCATGGTGCATGCGCATGCCCCCCCCCCCCCCACTAGAGAGCTGACTGTTGGATATCTGCTGCACATGAGTGGAGGAGGAGCGCACACATGCTCGGAGGCATGTGGCATGCAGGGGGGTTGCATGTGCATGCTCAGAGGTGTACGGTGCAGGGGGGTCATATGTGCATGTGCAGAGGCACATGGTGCGTGCACAGGGGATTGCGCACGCATGCGGAGGGGGAGGAGCAGGGGTGGGATTCTACCAGTTTGCACCTATTTGCTAGAACCGGTTGTTAACATTCTAAGCAGTTCAGAGAATTGGTTCAGAGAGCAGTTCAGAGAAGAAATTACTGGCCTAATCCTGTAAGGAAGGGAGGAAGGAAACATTCTGGTGTTGCTTACAGAAACTGCCTCTCTGTTAACCTTTATTACATTCTTGGCAGGACTAGACTTCCTGTCTCAGAAACCTCTCTGGAGTCATTTTTCCCTCCTTTGCTGGTACTTTGCTTGTGTGGAGTGACCATTCAAAGTTACAATGGCACTGAAAAAAGTGACTTATGACCGTTTTTCACACTTACGACTATTGCAGCATCCCCACAATCATGAGAGGCCAGGCGAGGAGATGCGTGCCTCAATGTGAGTGATATTGAGTTGGCCACACCCAGCCAATAACATGACCACCAAGCCACGCCCAGCACCTAAGCCACACCAACAGAACCAGTTGTTAAAAATGTGAATCCCACCCCTGGGTGGGGGAGTCATGCATGCATTGAATCATGGGTGCAGGCACCCAAGCGTGCACACCCATGCACTTTTGGCATGCAATGTGGAAAAGCTTAGCCATCACTGGCCTAAAGTCACAAGAGTCACTTAACAACTGTGGCTTGGTTGACATCTGTGGCAAAATGTGTACTATAATGAGGTGTGATTCATTAACTGCCATGCTTAATTCTAGTCCCGACTGTGATCTAAATTGAGGAGTCCCTGTATGCCTTTGAAGGAAGAACATGTTTGATAGTAGATGTTAATCTCACTCTTTTCAGATGCTGAAAAATGTACCAAATGTCCAGCAGAACAGTATCCAAACACCAATCAAGATGACTGTATTCCTAAGACTGAAACTTTCCTATCTTATCAAGAAAATCTGGGGATCATCCTGGCTTCCCTTGCCTTGTTCCTGTCTTTGGTAACAGGTTTTGTCTTTGGAATTTTCATTAAATTCCAAGAAACTCCCATAGTCAAAGCCAACAATCGAGATCTCTCCTACATCCTCCTCATCTCCCTCTTGCTCTCCTTCTTGACCTCATTCCTTTTCATTGGCCAGCCAAGGAGAGCTACTTGCCTTCTTCGACAAACAGCCTTCAGCAACATCTTCTCAGTTGCCATTTCTATCATCTTGGCCAAAACAGTCATGGTGGTGCTAGCCTTCTTGGCCACAAAACCAGGGAATAAAGTGCAGAGATGGCTAGGGAAGAGCCTGGCTAATTCTATCATATTTTCGTGTTCTGGTGTCCAAATTATCCTCTGCAGCATCTGGTTGGGCACTTCTTCCCCATTCTTTGAGTCAGACATGGACTCGGAACCTGCAGAGATTGTCCTGCAATGTAATGAAGGCTCTGTTGCCATGTTCTATGGTGCCCTTGGCTACATGGCCTTCCTTGCTCTGGTTTGCTTCACAGTGGCTTTCCTAGCCAGAAATCTACCTGGGGCCTTCAATGAAGCCAAACTCATCACCTTCAGCATGCTGGTCTTCTGCAATGTCTGGGTAACCTTTGTACCCACCTACCTGAGCACCAAAGGGAAATATATGGTGGCTGTGCAGGTTTTCTCCATCTTGGCCTCGAGTGCTGGACTTCTGGGCTGCATCTTCATACCCAAGTGTTATATTATTTTTTTAAGACCAGACCTGAATACAAAACAATATTTGTTTTCAAAATAACATATACATTTATTTGGCACATCTTTCCCAAAAATGCCAGTTAATTTCTTCCAAAATATTATTGGATAGTGCAATGTTTCTTTAAAAACCACAAATGTACCCAAACACAAACTTGTTTTTTTCTTTTATTTTGCATCACAATAGAAATTTTAACCACTTTCAATAAATACATGTCCCCCTTATACTTTCAATTTATGTATGTACTTAAACTGTGTTAGGACTCAATCTCTCTCTCTCTCTCATTCTCTTTCTCTCTCTCTCTCTCTCATTCATTCTCTTTCTCTCATTCTCTCTCATTCATTCTCTCTCTTTCATTCTCTCTCTCTCATTCTCTCTCTCATTTTTTCTCTCTCTCTCTCTTTTCTCTCGCTCTCTCATATGTGTGCCATCCATTTGATTTAGAGATTGGACAACCACTTGTATAGAATGATATAGGACAGAGTGTCAAACTCGTGGCCCACGGACTAGATGCATCACATGCTGGCCACGCCCACCCCATTTAGTGAAGGGAGAAAAGTCATGATACATCATGTGACAACAACATGATGTCACAAGTTTGACACCCCTGATATAGGATGTCCTGCTTGAGTAGGGGGTTGGCCTCAGTGATGTGTTTCAAATATTTTTACCACCAGTTCAGTGGGCGTAGCTTGGTGAGCATTCTTTGCACATGCGCACACACTTTGTACATGTGTGCATGCCAAATGCACACTTTGCACAGGTGCAGAGGCATTTTGACTCACCTCCTGCAATCCTGCACTCTCCCTGATGCTTCAGCAGCTGCCAGGCAGCAATTGCTGTGCCGCGCAAAGCTGCTGCACTTCAAAAGCAGGACATAAAGATTAGAATGGGAGCCCGGGTGGGTGGGTGGGCCCAACACAGAGCATTGGAGAGAACCAGTTGAACTGGGGAAACCAGGCTCAATGGCAGTAGCTGTGAGAGGGATCTTGGAGTCTTAGTGGACAACGAGCTAAATATGAACCAGCAGTGTGCAGCAGCAGCCAAAAAGCCAATGCAATCCTAAATTGCATTAACAGAGAGATACAATCAAGATCAAGTGAGGTACTAATACCAGTCTATAAAGCCTTAGCAAGACCACACTTAGAGTACTGCATCCACTTTTGTTCACCACATTATAAAAAAGATGTTGAAACTATACAAAAAGTACAGAGAAGAACAACCAGGATGATTAGGGGACTGGAGACTAAGGCATATGAAGAACAGTTACAGGAACTGGGCTTGGCTAGTCTAATGAAGAGAAGGACCAGAGGAGAGATGATAGCAGTCTTCCAATATTTGAGGGGCTGCCACAGAGAGGAAGGAGTGAAGCTATTTTCTAAAGCACCTGTAGGCCAGACAAGGAATAATGGATGGAAACTGAACAAGGAGAGATTCAACCTGGAAATAAGGAGAAACTTTCTGACAGTGACAACAATCAACCAATGGAACAGAAGTTGCCCTTGGAAGTTGTGGGAGCTTCATCACTGGAGCCTTTCAAGAAGAGATTGGACTGCCATTTGTCAGAAATGGTGTAGGGTCTCCCACTTGGTCCCTTCCAACTCTGATTATCTGTTATCTTTATCTGGTTCAGTCTCCACTGCTCATCGCTGCTACCGGCTCAGCAGAACCAGGCCGAACCTGTAGAATACCACCACTGGTTGACCTAGAAGATCTGCAAGGTCCCTTCCAGTTCTATTATTCTCATTTGTATTGTTGAATCTGCAGTCTTAGTTTGAACTTTTTGGCTGCCGCTTCTTCCTCCACCACTGACTTCTCCTATAGGCAAATCCTTGCTTCCATCATCTTATCTAAAACCACATTCTCCAATCTAGAACTGCATGCATCATGTTGGTACCTACTACATTAGCAACCTTATTTCAAATAGGCCTTCAAATAAGGATCCAGTTGAGCCTTGAGCCTTTTGTGTAGCACTGGACTATCTTGTCTCAGATCTTGGAGAGGCCAAGCATCCCAGTGATTGTAGGCCCTAGCTTTGGTCTATCAATCAATCAATCAGAGTACAATAAAATAAAGCAGCATTCTGTGCATATGTTACCCAAGAAGACAATATATATGCATACCAGTAATCAGTGGTGAGATTCAAATATTTTTACCATCGGTTCAGTGGGCGTGGTTTGGTGCACACGCTTTGCGCACGTGCACACCCTTTGCATGTGCACGCATGCCAAACACGCACTTTGTGCAGGTGCAGAGGTGTTTGCACAGGCTCAGAGGTGTTCTAACTCACCTCCTGCAAGCCTGCATGATCCTGGTCGCTTCAGCAGCTGCTGCGCAGCATTCTTTTGTGCCGCGCAAAGTAGCTGCATTTCAAATTCAGTGGATAAAGCTGAGTATGAGAGCCCAGGCGAGTGGGTGGGCCCAACAGCAGAGCGGTGAAGAGAACTGGTTTGGTCTCCGCTGCTCATCATTCTGTGCCTACGTTACCCAAGAAGACCATATATATGTGGTCTTCCCTGTAGCACTGGACTATCTTGTCTCAGATCTTGGTGAGGCCAAGACATTATGAAGTTGTGCTAGCTTCTGACAAAATGTTTGGTCTGGGAATATTTAACTCCAATTCATCATAATTTCCTGAAATTCATGGTCTATGTGAAACTGTTGGGAGACATCTCTTCAGGAATGGACATTCTCTTAATAAAAAAAATTGTCAGGTTTTATTTTTATATAATTTATAAATATTATATAGCCATCCACATAACATTTCTAACTCTGGGTGGCTTATAGTTAAAATGTAAACTGTATGAAGAAAATAAAACTGCCATACAAACAATATAAACATTAAAAACATTTAGAAGCTATACAATAAAGTAACTGGGAGAGCAGAAGCATTCAAGAAGAGTACACACATTTTATGGGCTCCATACCACTTTCTGATCCCCAAGCCAGATGGCTTCCTGAGGATTAAAACTATCAAGCAAATTTCTAAAGAGGAAGAGAAGAAGAAGTTGTCCATCCAGTAGTGACAAATTGTCCCAACTATTTGAAACATTCCCTTTACTGTGGAGAAGATTCTGCTCTTATAGTTACAGATTCACTTTGCTTTTTTCTCAAAGTTTTCTCTCTTCAGCCCAGAGGTGCTACTCAGCAGGTTCTGACCAGTTCTGGAGAACCAGTAGCAGAAATTTTGACTAGTTTGGAGAACAGCAAACACCACCTCTGACTAGCCCCACCCCATCTATTTTCTGACTCCCAAGCCCCAGCTGATTGGCTGGGTCTTCTTTTGTTGCCCTGCACAGGAGAACAGATCTGGAAAGCAGGTTAGTGGGGTGAGAGGGAATGGAATTTTGCAGTAACCTTTCTCCAGGTGTGTGGGGGGGGAATGGAGATTTTGTAATATCCTTCCCCTGGAGTGGAGAGGGAATGGAGATTTTCCAGTATCCTTCACCTGCCATGCCCAGCAAGCCACACCATGCCCACCAAGCTACGCCAACAGAACCAGTAGTAAAAAAAATTGAATCCCACCACTGCTTCAGCCCAACAGAGATGTTTGCCTAACGTTATAAATACATGTACATAGGCATACACAAATACTATATTGCTGAAAGTCAAGTGACACATCCATTTTCCTCAAATAATCCCAACAATTTCATCATTTTCTCCTTCAAATGACTTCCATGTTGAAAATAAATACAGTAAGAAAAATATAATCACGTATGTAAACTTTGTCCTCTCACATTTGATGAACAGATTAAAGATACAGCAAGAACCACTCAGAAAGTCCAGAAGATATCATGGCTGATGCATGTGCCAATTTCTTAAGAAAGAAGGAGGAACATTAAGAAGAAAGAAAGAATTTATAACACACAAAACCACTTATATTAGATATTCAAAGCTTTATTCAGAAAGAATAAAGAATTAGAACAAATAAAAACCATATGATAAAATGGATACAAAATTTCAAAGAAAAAGTCATAATACATCAATGGGAAGAATTATAGATCAAATCCATAACATTTACTATGAGCTACAATTTTAACAGAAATACTCATACAATAGAAATGTAACAATACTCAAAAATACTAGGATATATATAGACATCCTTATATTTATTAACACTGACATTGATAAACATTGATATAAATTTCTTCTTTTTCTCTATCTTTAAATGTTTAAGTTATCTAAACAGAGTATTAATTTAGTATAGAATAAATCCTCTGTATAAATACCAATGTATCAAAAAAAATATCATCTATTTTGTCTTAATTTTTTTAAAGCGAAAAAAGAAAGGGAAAAAGACCAACAATATAGAAAAGATGTTGTTGAAATTAGCTTTCTAAAGTGTCAAATGTTGGAATGTTGACATTTTGGGGAACCTCCTACCCAACATCCATTTTACTGCATTATTTTGATATTACATGTGCATTACATTACATGTGTTCAGATCTGGTCTTAGATAAATAATATAGCACTTAGGGAAAAATATAAAGCTCAGCAAGCCAGCATTGGAGGCCAAGTTGGAGAAGACCTGCACAGCCACCATATACTTGCCTTTTGTACTCAAATAGGTAGGCAGGAAGGATATCCAGACACTGCAGAAGACCAGCATGCTGAAGGTGATCAACTTGGCTTCGTTGAAGGCCCCAGGCAAATTCCTAGCCAGAAAAGCCACTGTGAAGAAGATGGCAGCCAGGAAGCCCGTGTAACCGAGGGCACTGTAGAACATGGCAACAGAACCTTCATTGCATTGCAGAATGATCTCTCCGGGCTGGAAATGCATGTCAGTGTCTGGGAATGGGGGAGAAATGCCCAACCAAATGCTGCAGATGACAACTTGGATACCAGAGTAAGAATCAATGATAGAGTTGGCCAAGGTTTTCCCCAGCCATCTCTGCACCTTATTCCCTGGTTTAGTGGCCAAGAAGGCTAACACCACTGTTATTGTTTTGGCCAAGATTGAAGAAATGGCTATAGAGAAGATAACACTAAAAATGGTTTGAGGGGGAGAAGGCAGGTCTGTTTTGTTGGTCGCCCAATGAACA